AGAGTTCAGCTTAGACAAGAAGAAGAGAGATAAACTAGATTCAAAGAGGTGTAGTAGTCTAGATGATGGATGTAACATGTTAAACAGGAAGGAAGTTTATTTGAGTATAGAGTATAGAGTATACTCGTAGATAGATTTAAGTTTTGAATAGTTTTGAGTTTTGGAATGAAGGTTGATGGGAGTAGAGTAGAGAGTAGAGAGTAGAGAGGAGAGAGGAGAGAGGAGAGAGGAGAGAGGAGAGAGGAGAGAGGAGAGAGGAGAGAGGAGAGAGGAGAGAGGAGAGAGGAGAGAGGAGAGTTACTAATAGAAGCTATAGTGTGTATGTATAGGTATATACTACGGGAGTATTCGAGTATTGGGAGTATAGGGAGTAAAAGGAGTAAAAGAGTAGAAGAAGTAAGAATAAATCAATCAAAGGATTACTACTCGAGTAAAGTAGATGAATATATCGGTACTAGTATCGGTATGGGTATATTAGTATATTAATATGTTACTCAAGCAGTAGATTGAGAAAGAAATAGAGATAGATTTGAGAAAATCGGAGGGAGACTCGAAGGGGTGGGATTTTTGTTGCTGGGAATTTCAATGCTAGTGGGGTATGAGGGATGGGATGATTGATGGATTTGTATTGGTGGTGATATGGTGATATAGAGGGGTGAATAGGTAGATGTATAGGTGAGGATAATTGGACAGGCGAAGATAGTTGGATACCAAACAAGTGAATGAATAAAATGAGTAGAGGAGTTAAATGAGTTGAGTAAAAGGGATGGAAGGATAGTCGAGGAAGAGTAAATACTATACTCGAGAGTAGATAAGATGTATATGTATATGTGTATAGGCTAGAAGTGAATAGAATGATGAAAGCGAATAAGATGGGTATGAATGAGATAGAAATGAATTAGATGATTCAGGAAGTGAATGGGATAAAAGTGATTGAGATAGAAGCGAATGGGATAGAAATAAAACTCTACCCAAGTAAGATAAAAAAACGAACGAAACAGAAACGCGCGAAACAGAAACGAACAAAATAGGAAATGAAATGATACAAGTGATTAGAGAATAGGGAAAGAGAATAGAGAATAGAGAATAGAGTAGAAGGAATAATATAATGAAAATATATAAAGTAGCAACTAGGAAAGAAAATACTGTAACAGTACTATATGAGTACTAAATGCTAGGCTGCTAGTGTATCAGTATACTACTATAGTATAGAGTAAAGGTTGAAGAGGATGGGAGTTGAGAGAAAGAAAGGGAATGGAGGATGATGTTTTATATGAGTATATGATGTTCGAACACCTATAGATGTTATATATATATAGAAGTATAAATGACAGAAGAGTAAGTATGGAAATACTATACTATGCTATAGATTCATCATTATTAATTTAAAATTCAAAATTTAACAAGCAAAAATTACATTGTGCTATAATCATAAACTAATTACCATTTGACTTGCTGCCATCTAATCTAAAAAAGATGATTGACTTTTCGTCTATCATGCAAGAACATGAGCGTTTATAAAAACCCCGACGCCCGCAAAGCAAAGCTCCAATCAATACCCATCCATTCATCATTTATCTTAATGTTTTTCCCCTTCATCCTCCAATTTAACCCCATCTAATGCGTTCCATTAACACTATCCGCCTCCACCTCCACCTCATCCCCACTAGGCTCTTCATACCCATCTTGATATTTGTGCCAGTTCGCCAACACATTGCCAATCTTTGGACTATTAGTCAGACGATAAACATCCTCAAAGTACTCCTTGGTCAATTCGAAAGGTCTAGCAGTGACATTAGGAATATACTTTCCAATCAACTTGCTAGGATCGATAGTTGTCTTGTTGATTTTCTTAAGCAAGAAACTTCTAAATGGTTTAACACCACTTCTCAAAAATGTCGAGTGGAAAGGTACATCGATACCCTTGAGAGGGATGGTAGCGAAACCTCTTTGGAGATCGAGAGGTTTGGGTTTGGCTTCGGTTTGTTTGGCACATTCGCGGACGATTTCGACAAGATGTGCTTTGACGTCGTCAAGACTCAAGGTTTGCATGAGCTCTTGAATGTCAATCTTTTGAGCTTTGAGGTAGTTGGTAACACCGGTGAGAGTGTCAAGAGCTCGGAGATCACCAGCGCAAACGTATTGCATGTTGGCGATATTGTAGTTGACAATTTCCAATAACCAGCTAGTTTCTTCGGCAATGTTTGCAACAACATATTGAAGAGCTTCTTCGTTGAAGGTCTTGGAGATTCTGCTGGGGTTGACAGCGCACATGGAGTAATTGGATCGTCCAGAAGCATCACGTTCGACGGCGACTTGCATAGTCAAACCTCTATAGAAAACAACAGAAACCAAACTCTCAATTGGCATGACATCTGCCAAAGCAGCAAGAGCAGAGTACTCTCCAAGGGAGTGACCAGCGAAACTGCTATCACGTTGGACAAGACCCTTAGAGCGCATGTCTTCGAAACTTGCCTTCTCCATCAATGTCAAGGCGGGTTGTGTGAATTGAGTAGCGGAGAGAAGACCTGTTGGTGATCGGTAGGTATAGGATGTCGTACGTTCGTCGACTTCCTTGAACATCTTCTCGGATTTGATAGAACCATCGGCACCAACAGTTTCGAAAGTCATGGACATGTAATTTTGACGAATTGCCTTACCTCGAGGACCACCAAAGTGAATGGTGAGTTCTTTAGGGTTATTCTTGACAATGTTGGTAATAGCGAAACCTAAATATTGTTAGAAATGTAACGTAAGAAGTAGCTGAAGAAACTTACCATAGTTGTCCATGAAATGCTTATCGGCACGATCCCATACTTCCTTGGCAACAGGACTGCTAGCATACAACTCCATACCCATACCTTGCTCTTGGGAACCTTGACCAGTGAAGACGTATGCTGAGACTGGTTGCTCAACTTCAGCCTCACCAAGTAAGACCTTATCTTCAGTCTCCTTGTTGGTGGCCTCAACCTTGATGATCTTACGACCAGCAACCATACCGACATGCTGTAACTTGACCTCAATGTCATCGTTTGGAAGAACCATACCAGTCAATTGAGCGTGGAAGCTGCGAACACGACCAACGTGGTTCTCTGCGGCCCACGTCTCGACCAAGCTACGGACAGCTGCACTAGAGTACATACCATGTGTGATAGTACCAGGCAGGTTTGCGTAGCTAGAGAAGACACGAGAAACGTGAATAGGGTTATAATCACCCGAAACACGAGCATAGGTCTCGTTAGATGTTGGTGCTCGGAGAGAGAGTGGAGTCTTGCCATTGAGAGGGATGGCATTCTCGAAGTTGATAGGTTGTTCAATTGAAGATCCGTGGCGTTCAAGATAATCAATGACAGGGTTACCGTGTGAAACACCTGCTTCGTACTCGACGCTAGCAACTTGAATAATCTCCTTGGTTGGAAGCTCCAACAAAACTTGACCTCTAGTCTCAACACTTGAGAAAACAGTCTTATTCTTGAAGCGGACAAGACTCTCAAGACGGAAAGTCAAGGTCTGGCCAAGTAACTCATGATCTGGCTCGTCCAAGTTGAACCACTCCTTGGATCTCAAGACAGCGACGTCCTTCGAGGTTGCAAGAAGAATTTGCATAGGTGTCTCGGTCTTACGCTGAAAGGTATTTTCAAAGTCGGTGTATGCACCTCTGTACAAGAATTGCGAAGT